CAGAGTTAACCCTCCCTGGTTAGGGGAAAAGGGATAATAAACTAGTAATTCAGCGCTTTCCGCCGCCGCCACGAAGCTTGGGACCTTTCGGTGCGGAACCCTTGGGAATGTTACCCTTGCTTTGTGTCTCCTGTTGCTTTGCTGCTGCTACTGCTTTCTTTGCCTTCTTTTCATCTTTGGTTTTCTTTATCCTTTCCTTGATTTCACTAAAAATAGATGAACAAGAAATATTTTCATAGATGCACACAGCATATAACTGTCAAAATCAGCAATGACATGGAAAAGATGAAATATTAGCAAAACGAAAACCACACACCGGAGAGCTGCTTCCCTAGCAGCATAACGAACTTCAGGTTTCTCACTCCTCTTCTTCTGTATAACCTCTAAGGTTGCACCAACAATGGATCTGGATTACAGCTTCTTAATGGCACGTCTCCTCTTCTTCACAGCCTCTTGGGCAATGTCCTAAATGCACGTAAACAACATGAAAATAAATAAGCAACAGCGCATGCAAACAAAAAAATTTATTGTTCAGACTCTTCATTTTTATTGAAGTACTCTTGTCGGATATCTATGTTTTATCCGTATCTGAACAATGGTATATAGATATGACCTTCAAAGAACCCTCCACATGTATGAAAAAACTTTTAAAAATTTAAACAAACATGACAGGCATATACCTGTATCTACCACTACCACCCAAGGAGTGTAACATTAACAATAAACATTATGTGATCTTGCTCCAACTTTTATCAGATAGATGAAAGTGGTAAAATGAGATGCCACACCTTGTTCAATGGTGTTCTTTCTATCACCAATAATAAAAATGTACTAATAAAAACTGATCAATGAACATGATCTTTATTAGCAAAGTCGCAATAATGGAGGAAAAATGCAACATTCTGAATGAAATCGAGTTTACACAGATTGCACTCAACTTCTTATGTTGCTTCCTATACATGGCTGTCCATTTAAGTTTCGATGGCTTCAGACGGTTATGGAAGTACCTCTTGCATTTCGAATTGGAAAAGAGGAAGACCTAAACAAAATCAAACACGAAAACTATTTATTACAAATGCAACAACATAACATTCACCTCTTTAGTTCGAACTGGATTTGAAACTTACTTGAGAATCAGCTCGAACAAATCTGATACCTTTACCGGGGTATATCTTGGCACCGCTAAACCGGAAAGCTCAGTCCTGATGCAATGTGAGGGAAGTTAAATTACAAATTTTTGGCATAATGTATAAAAAGCCCTTATATACAAATAATCTATGCAAGATCATTTTAAATCCAAACCTGATATACCTAAAATATGATCATAAAATCTCAAAAGACTATCATATCTCATTCATCATGTTAACGTTCAGTTTAAACAAATGTCAAATTTTTAACGGAAAAGGACGAGTGTCGGACGACAATTTTGTAACTTTTAATAATCGAGTGACTCAACAAAGCAACATTCTATAGTCGGAGGATCATTTTGTAACTTTTAATATTCGAGAGACTTGGAATCAAAAAAAAATAATAGTCGAAAGATTTAATAAAGTAATATCCTTTAGTCGGAGTCATTTGTGCACTTTATCCGTGATTTTAATAAATTTTATTTAAAATTTAAAATTATACTTTTAGATTTAAGGGTCACCTTTTGCTCTTATAACAGACTCAATTTATCATTTTTGTTGGTGTCGTATTTTTCATCAATTTAACCTTCAAAATTGTTTAATCACATCATTCTATATCATAATTAAAACCTAAATTATAAATCCTAACTTACTGTTTAGAGATTATGAAGGTATGATTTAAGATTTATAGTTGAGGGTTTTAAGTTAGTGATATAATATAAAATAATACAATTAATCAATTTCGAGGGTTAAATCAATGTGAAAATACGATATGAGCGAAATTGATAAGTTAAATTTATTACAGAAACAGAAGTTACTCTTCTGTCATAATTTTAATAATAAAAAATAAATATAAAAAATAATATTTTTACTTTTATGATCAAATTAAAAAAAATGTTTTACATATATATTTTAAAAATTATATATTTAATATTATTTATAATTTTAAAAAATTCTTTTAAAACTTTCAGCTGGAGTTTAATAACCTTGTTAAAGAAAAAATGTATTTTTTATTTTTAATAAAATATAATATTACAATTATATAGTTTTTATATAAATATTCATTTAGGGTCTGATTGGTTGGGGGAAAATATTTTACAGAAAATATTTTCTCTGTTTTCCTGTGTTTGGAAAAGTCAATGAAATTTATTTTACGGTCAATAAAAAACTCAAAGCAAAACACGATAAAATGACTTACCGTTTGGAGAAGGATAAGTCATTTTCCTTCGTTTTCCTGTCTCTTGATCCACACCGAAATATCTTGCGATCCAGTGGCCTCCTTCGTTTACGGTGTGCGGGATTTTGGTTTTGGTTCTCATCGTCGTTTTGAGCAGAGAAGGCCAGATTGAATCAACACCTACCATTTCTAGGGTAAAGATCTACTCTTTCTTCTTCTTTGTTTTTGTTTTTGTTTTCGACTTTTCTTTAATGATTTGGAAAGCTCTTTTTTTTTTTGAAATTCATGGACATCTTTGAGCAAATTTCTATTTTGGGTTATGGGTAAAGTATTTGATTTGGGTGAATTTAGGGGATAAAATTTATTTTTATCATTAGAAGTGATTAGTCGTCTGCAATTCTTGTCTGATGTGAATTGGAATCTAGAGGCAGTTTGTCTTTGCATTTGCTTGAACTTTTTCTGGAGTTTCTCGTAGGATATGTGGTATATTTCAAGTTTCAGAGATTTAGGTGGTGTTTGTTTTCACTGTGCAAGCTCTTCAAACCACTTATGTCTGCGTCGCGCAGACCACGCACAGACATTAGGCTTCGCAGACTGTTTGCTTTTTAGAAGACAGAAGCTCTTCAAACGTCTGTGCGAGCTCTTCTTGGTGCAGACTTGGTTTTATGTCTTCAAAGGTCTTCAAACCTCTTCAAGAACAATTATAAAATATAGTTATTTATTAAAATAATTTTAAATAATTTAATAAGGTTATTTATTTTAAAATAATTTATTTTAAAATAATTTATTTTAAAATAATTTATTTTAAAATAATTTATTATAAAATAATTTATTATAAAATATGGATTAATTTTAAAATAATTTTAAATAATTTAATAAGGTTATTTATTTTAAAATAATTTATTTTAAAATAAATTATTATAAAATATGGATTGATTTATTTTAAAATAATTTATTTTAAATAATTTATTATTATGGATTGATTTATTTTAAAATATGGATTGATTTGTTTTAAATAATTTATTAGTATGGATTGATTTATTTTAAAATATGAATTGATTTATTTTAAATAATTTATTAGTATGGATTGATTTATTTTAAAATATGGATTGATTTATTATTGTAGTTGTATGGATTGATTTATTTTAAATAATTTATTAGTATGGATTGATTTATTTTAAAATATGGATTGATTTATTTTAAATAATTTATTTGTATGGATTGATTTATTTTAAATAATTTATTAGTATGGATTGATTTATTTTAAATAATTTATTTGTATGGATTGATTTATTTTAAAATATGGATTGATTTATTTTAAATAATTTATTAGTATGAATTGATTTATTTTAAATAATTTATTAGTATAGATTGATTTATTTTAAATAATTTATTTGTATGGATTGATTTATTTTAAAATATGGATTGATTTATTATTGTAGTTGTATGGATTGATTCATTTTAAATAATTTATTAGTATGGATTGATTTATTTTAAAATATGGATTGATTTATTTTAAATAATTTATTAGTATGGATTGATTTATTTTAAATAATTTATTATATGGATTGATTTATTTTAAAATATAGATTGATTTATTATTGTAGTTGTATGGATTGATTTATTTTAAATAATTTATTAGTATGGATTGATTTATTTTAAAATATGGATTGATTTATTTTAAATAATTTATTATTGTAGTTGTATGGATTATTTAAATTTCAATATTGTAAAACTAAAATTATTTAAATCTCAATATTGCAAAACTCTTTTAAGTTTAAAAAATCAGTTTATTTATATTTCAGTTCATTTTAGCAGTCTGCAGACGTTAAAAAACAAACAGTCTTCTTCTTGCAGACTGCAGACTTTTGGTCCACCTCTTCTGCAGATGCCTGCAGATGTGGTCCGCAGACTACAGACCTTTTACCTCTGCAAAAACAAACACCACCTTATTCTCTAACTGTTAGATTTATAATTCTTAACTGTTTTTTTGGGACATTTTTTACTGCTGGAGTTGTTAAGAATTTGTTATTTGTCGACACGATAGTTTGGGTTTTTTTAACTGAAAAGAAAAAAGGGTTTGTGTTGGCATGTCAATTATCATCTATGTGTGTTGAAGCTGATCGTTTTGATTTAATTAGTTTTCTTCGTTGAGTAATAACTCACTAGAATTACATATCCTTGTTAGAAGTAGTAGTTTGGCCCTTCCTTTTCGTACACTAAACTTATTCAAGAAAAACTTTAGGAAATACAAACCTTAAGGACCGATTAACCGAACCTATAAGGAAGTTGAATAATAGCTTTGGAATTAAAGAGAATTGGTAAGTATTGCAGGTTTGATCTTATGTAGTGGCATATGCTTATCTGTTCTTGGAAAACATGCCTTGAACTACTTCTGGGTGTTCTAAACAAAAGGAGTCATATAATGGTCAGATGTCATTTTTAAGGAATAGGTTGTTCTAATTACCTTATCTCAGCACCAACAAATGGCTTCTTTCTGTTTATATAAAATATGTAATTTAGAAGGAGCTATGCATGTTAATCATATGTTGTTGAGGAGATATGGTCCCGTAAATCTATTTATAGTGGCTAGGCCAGCATAGTATAAAGAGTATTATTGCTCCTATAAAGGTTGGTGGTTTTAGGTATCTTTTGAAGCCATAGGATATAAATAGGAGAAAGAGGGGTCTCAAGAGAAAGCCAATGGTTTTGATGAAGAAGCTTCGCAAGGCGGTAAGCTGATCTTTAATTTGCTCCTTTTTGTTGCTTTTTAATAAATTATATTTGTGGGGTTTATAATTATGTTTAGGGTTGACATAGAGTTATTGGGCATTGTTCATTTGATTTTTGTTTAAACTTGTTTAAAGGTAAAACTCATGTATTTTATTCGGCATATAGCATTTGATTCTTATGGTTATTTTTTAATTTCTTGAAAAATTTGTAACACATCTCGCTGAGATAAAGTTGATCTTTTACTCCTTTCGATGTCAATAATATATGGTGATCGAACTGCATTAGATGCATCAGTGTTTTGATCGGCATTAGATGCATCAGTGTCTTGAAAATTTCTATAGCTTTAACGAATATTATCTTTGATCGAACTGCATTAGATGCATCAGTGTTTTGATTATTCTGTGAAAGTTTAATCTTACTTTGATGTATTGATATAGAAAAGGGAGGCGCCACCTGGTGAGAAACCAGAGCCAATTAGAACCCACCTGCGTAATATGATCATTGTGCCCGAAATGATTGGAAGCATCATCGGTGTGTACAACGGCAAGACATTCAATCAAGTTGAAATCAAGCTTGAGATGATCAACCATTACCTCGCCGAGTTTTCTATTTCGTACAAGCCTGAGATGATCATTTGTGGTGTATGAAGAGATATTTCATGTTGATCAAGTTTTGATTGTTGCAACCTTAGGCATTTTAATTAATGACAATTTTATAGTGTTTCATATGATTTTTAATTAATTATGAATTAGATTATGTATTATTACGGTTGAATATTATTGTTGTTTTAATATGATAAACTCTTTAATTATATATTCTGACAATATTATTATTAATACAATGTTATGTACTATTTTTGTTTTAATTTGGTGTACTATTAATTAAACATTCTTAGAATTTATAAACTTTTATAATATATTTTCAATAATATTAATATTATTTAAAATACATATTTTTTATAAAATATAATTATATATAAAAAATAAACTTTCAAAAAATAATAAATAATAAAACATATTCAATATACAACTTTTTCATTAAAAACAGATTCTGAAAATAATTTTAAAAAAATCATCTAAATAATATAAAATATTTTACAATATACCATCTAAATATTTTTACATTAAAAAATAATTTACATTTCTAAAAATATTTTTTAATTTTATTTTTTAAAAATCGTTTTCAATAAAATAACGGACTCTTATTAACGTAGCAAAAAGAGAGCAGCACTCCCAAATCCCATCATTTTGGATTTCCCAATTGATGAAGACAGGGATCCCACCCTTCATATTACGCCACGTATTAATAAAATATTAAAAAATAAGAGGAAAAAAATGAAAACCCCAAATTTCAAAGTCCCTAATTTCCATACGGTAAATTATACTCCCGCACAAAAGCCAAAAGGCTTTTTCTTTTTCTTTTTTTTTTTTACAAAAATTTTATGTTTCCTTCAATCCAAGCCAAGAAAAGAGAAATTTCCTTTTTCTATTCATATATGTTGCTGCAGGATCTACTGATCCAGCTGAATCTGATCTAGTATTTGTTGAAAATTTTAGAAAGTTATTTTTTTTTCATTTTCTAATTTTTTGAAAGAAAAAGGAATGGGGGACAACAAGGAGGAAGAAGAGTGGAGCGGGAGTGAGAGCGGAGATTTGACATCGGAGGACGAAGGGACGGAAGATTACCGGCGAGGCGGTTATCACGCCGTTAGAATCGGTGACACTTTCAAGAACGGTCGTTACGTTGTACAAAGCAAGCTTGGTTGGGGCCATTTCTCCACCGTTTGGCTTGCTTGGGACACTCAGCGCTCCGTAAACCTCTTTCTCTTTATCCCTACCTGGTCTTGCTTCTTTTCTGTAGATTATTAGTTCAATTATGTTGTCTTATAATTAAATCTGTATAGTTAACTCAAGAAGTTTGCCTTTGCTCCAATTTGTCTTTTTTTAAAAAGAAATCAGTATCATTTGATTATTCTGTTCTGTCGATCATGTAATTGAAGAAAAATCATCTAAAAAGAACCTTCTTCATATATTTTTGTTAATATCCTGTTAGATTTATTTCCTAGAAAATAACTGAGTAAAATATGCTTGATTGTAAAGAACAAATCAAAAGCGTTCGTTGCAACTCGCAAGTAATAATTTGTTTGCTTGATCGATTCTGACAACGAAACAGCAGAAAATCAGTAGGGAATGTAGTCTATTCTCTTTTAATTTTAGTTCAATTGCTTTTGTTATGTTTTATTATAGTAATTTTTTTAAACTACAGTGTTATGTAGCTTTGAAAGTTCAAAAAAGTGCACAGCATTACACTGAGGCAGCGATGGATGAGATAACAATCTTGCAACAGATTGCCGATGGGGATAAAGAAGATAAAAAATGTGTGGTAAAGCTTTTGGATCATTTTAAACATTCAGGTCCGAATGGACAGCATGTTTGTATGGTGTTTGAGTACTTGGGAGATAATCTTTTGACTCTCATCAAGTACTCCGATTATCATGGCATGCCTATTCATATGGTTAAGGAGATATGTTTCCATATTCTAGTGGGCTTGGATTACCTGCATGAAGAGCTTTCTATTATACACACTGATCTGAAGCCGGAAAACATTTTATTGTTGTCAATGATGGATCCATCTAAGGACCCAAGAGAATCGGGTGCTCCTCTCATCCTTCCGAATATTAAGGACAAGACACTGCCATCTAGTAACGGGGATTTGAATAGAAATCAGAAGAAGAAATTTAGGAGAAAGGCTAAGCGGGTGACTCAGGGATGTGTGGAGAAGGAAGTTACTGCACAAGTTGATTTGGATCCCGAAACATCTGGTGCAGCCAAATCATCTTCTGTTGTGGGTTCTGTTGAATGCCCCAGTAGTTCCGGCAATGTTAATAGAGTCTCTGATGCTGATGGTACAAATGATTCTGGTCAAGAAAGTCAAGGTAATAAGAGAGGAAGTCGCTCCACAAGGCAGAAACTGTTGGCGTCAGTTGACTTAAAGTGCAAATTAGTTGACTTTGGGAGTGCATGTTGGACATATAAACAATTTACGAATGATATTCAGACAAGACAATATAGGTGTCCTGAGGTGATTCTGGGATCCAAGTATTCTACTTCAGCAGACCTTTGGTCATTTGCTTGCATTTGTTTTGAGCTTGCGACGGGTGATGTACTCTTTGATCCCCATAGTGGTGACAACTTTGACAGAGATGAGGTATTTTCTTTTATAATAATGTGATTATATTTTCTGTTATTTGCACCTTATATGATGTATGTGTTTGTTTTCAAGTTCTCATCTCTCTTGATGAAAGTTCATTGAAGATGTGGCATTCAGTCTTTGAAGTTAGGGACAAGCTTGTAAACCTAAAGAAGTTATTTCTTTGATTTTGAAAAAGGAAACAAAATTTCTCAGTGCATCTGCATAAGAAAATAGAGGCTATAAATGGGTACAAAAGTGATTTGTCTGTTGCATGTTATATTGAACTTGTAGTTAAATATGGATGCAATCCCTTGGAGATATTTTGCATTTTACATGTCTTTAATATGATAATCATATCGTCTTAAATGCTAAAACTTTGCAACTTAGGGAACACATTAAAACTTTGTTAGGTTATTTGTTTTTTTTAAAAGGACTAGAAATGAAAAGGGAGAAAATATTATAGGTGTCTTGAACTGATTTTTTTTTTTTGTAACTTAATGGAGAGAATAAAAAAGTACTATGTCTGCAAATTTCTCTTCTTGCCTATTCATATTTAGCTAGTTATTTCACCACTGATCTTGATTAAAATTTGCTGTAAACTTTAGTATTCCTTGTATGCGGTAGCCTTGTATACATTTAGAAATGATAGCTGAACAGAATGTAAGCTCATCTATTTTTGAGACTGCTGAATTATCATCAGTCTCGTACAACTGTTAGGTTATTGTTTGAGTTTGAGAGGTGCTTACTTATAGCTGAAAACAGGAAGATTACCTTTATTGTTGTTAAATCTCTGGAGCATCATAATTTTCCTACATGAGTTAAATTTAGGATTTTGTATTTAGGAATGTGTTATGTATATATGCTAGGTGTATGCATGTACTCATGTGCTTATGTATACAATCACATGTATATTGGTCACATTCAGGCTTTCTCATGTTTTTTTCGGCTAACCAAACATTTGGCAGGATTTAAGGTTTACGGTTTAACTGAAACACCTAATAAAAAATACATGGTGGTTTTGGAAAGATGTTATTTTACCTTGCAATATATATATATATATATATATATAAAGTTATTCTAAAAGTGCCTTGGAGCAGGTTTGAACTTTAAAACTTGAAAATAATAGATTGAAGGGTGTCTGTAATAGGAATATCTTGATTTGGCTTTCATTTGATCAAGCTATAAACTTGATATACCCTTGGACGAATGTAACAGTTCTCTCTTATCTGTTCAGGACCACTTAGCTTTGATGATGGAACTTCTAGGAATGATGCCACGGAAGGTGAGAAGTTTCGTTTCTGCCTAGTAAGAACTTTCTCAGACTCCTGCATTTAACAAAAACTATTTTGTGAATTATGCATAGATTGCCTTGGGTGGCCGTTATTCGCGGGACTTCTTTAACCGTTACGGTGATTTGAGGCACATACGAAGATTACGTTTCTGGCCCCTGAATAAGGTACTCGTTGAGAAGTACGAATTAAGCGAACAAATGCAAATGAAATGACCGACTTCCTGGTTCCCATCCTTGATTTTGTACCTGAGAAGCGTCCCACTGCTGCTCAATGCCTTCTACATCCATGGATCAATGCAGGGCCCCGACTTTTAGAGCCATCAAGTTCATCGTCATCGCGAAACCGAGTTGCGGATACGAATGACTCTGAGAAAAAGAAGACGGAGATGGATGAGAGAGAGGCAATGGAGGTTGGAATGGGGAAGATTGCCATCAGTACAGATTCTAGAGCTGCCAAAGATCTCATGTCCACATCGAAATTGTCGTGCCAGGACTACTTCTAGGTAGGACTCACCAACGGTACTAGAAGCTTCTTTGAATTTTATGCATAGACTAGTTTTGTGCATGTAATTCTTTTATAACATTTTTTGTTACAAAGCGTACCTGAAATTACATCAATATGTGTTGGAAATTCAAGATGAGCTTGCACTCATATAGTAGGTAATGTTATGCTTATGCCCCTTGATTTGGTCTACTCCGTTTCATTTATTTTCTATGTATATTTGCAGTTCCCCTTTTGTTTTAATGGGTGAATTACGATTTAAAACGCTGATTTAATAGAAATGTGATTGAACTCATTAAAAGCATTTGTAATTGAAAATTGAAAGTAGAACAAAACGCTTATATTGAACATGGATGCTATATTTTATATAATCAACACACATCTATTCGGCTCGGATGGTTAATGTGATTTTTATTCTTTTTGTTCGATTGGTTAAGTTGATTACTTTTATTTTCTCATGTTTTCTTAGGTCAAAAATTTAAAGTAATGTTTAGTTTTGGAAAATATTTTCTATTTTTAGAAGATAGTTTTCATTTTCAATTTTTTAAAATTGAAAAACTTAGTTGATTAATATAAATAAAATTTGAATTCAAAAATAAAATAACTAAAATATATTTGATATTTTTTTAAAGAGATGGACCATAGTCATTAAGTAATCATATTAACATATAATCATTAAAAAATTCGTTACATAAATTTAATATGCGAGTTATATAAATATAAAATAATAAAGTTGATTAGAACTTTA